TTTTCTTTTTTTCGTCTTTTGAATTTTTCAATGTTTTAATTTGAAATATTTAGATTTTACCACTTTCCGATGTGTAACTTTTTCAGTTTTCAATTTTCGATTTTTCATGTACATTTTGACTTCTTCTATCTGCTAATTCTGTAGTTTGTCAATTTTTCGCCTTCGAGTTCGTAATTTTTCTTTTTTTTTTCATATTGTCGTTTTTTAATTTTTCGGTTTTAAATTTTCGCTTTTTTAATTCTCTGCTTCTTTTAGATCTTACAATTTTGCTAGTTTTCGACTTTCAATTTTTCAATTTTTTGGTCTTCCTTTTTTTTCATTTTTTCTCCTTTCGATTTTTCGTTTTTTCTTGCCTTCAATGTTTGATTTGTAATTTTACTAATTACAGTTTTTCTGCTTTTCAATTTCTCTTTATTACACCTTTTGAATTTTCCAATTTTTCGAATTTTCTCTTTTTCAATTTTTGGACACTTAACATTTTTTCATATTTTGAATTTGTCTAATTGTCATTTTGAAATTTTTAGATTTTACCCCTTTCCGATATGTGACTTTTTGAATTTTCGATTTTCGGCTTTTCAATTTTTCGATTTTTCCACTTTGAACGTTTTCCTAATTTTCAATGATGCGTTCTTCCAATACATATTTCGACATTTAATTTTTCAGTTTTCAATTTTTGCAATCTTTTCTTTCTTCAATTTATTGATTTTACAAATTATAGACACATTTCGAGTTTCCAACTTCAAATTTTCCAATTTTCATCAATTTCTTAGTTTTTTGATTTTTCAATTTCACATTTTTTCGAATTTTCGAAATTTCAACTATTGAATTTTTCGATTTTCGCTTCTTTTATATTTTAATTTTTAGTTCTTACAATGTTTCAATTTGTAACTTTTCGAGTTTTCTACTTAAAATGTTTCAATTTTTCGTTTCTCTAATATTTAGATTTTTAATGTTTGCAAACGCAATTTTAAATGATACCCAATTTTGTATATTATTTTCGATTAATAAAAAAAAACGGCATGTCAACAAAATAATCTTTATTTTTTATTTTTTTTTATTTTTTTTTTTTATTTTATTTTATTTTTTCCAACGGGGTTACACCCAATTACAGGAAAAACTAAAAATTAAAATTAAAAATTAACAATAACAAGAAAGTAAAACTAAAAAGAAAAGAAAATTCTACCCATATAATGATTGCTTAACACAACTAACAATTTTGTTAATAGAGTCGAAATTTATATCGCATAAGTGTGAAATTTGATTGAAATAACTACACATAATACTAACTGGAGATCTTCTTAAAACGTTAGTTCTGTCAGCAGTACAATAAAATACATGATTATGTCGTGCACTAATTCTTGGTACAAGAAAATTTAAATAATGAAGCAATTCAGGGCAGTCTACTTGATTTCTAACTAAAAAAAACAAAAATTTAATGGCGATAATAATTCGTCTTTTATGTAATGATAAAAAATTAAATCTTAATAATAATAACGAGTGGTCATATCCTCGACAAGGATAGACCCCATCCAAAAGAAAAGACATAAATTTTAAGAACAAGCGTTGAACCGATTCTATATGATCAATATGGTTTTGATAAATTGGAAACCAAATTAAGGCACCATATTCAATTCTCGATCTGACTAGTGCGAAAAATAGAGCCTGTAACGTGTCGACACGCTTAAAGTCACGACAATTTCTGTAAATAAATCCATACGTCCGAAAGCATTTGGAAACCATATCATTTATATGATCGACAAAACTAAGCTTACAATCAAAGAGGATACCAAGATCTTTAATAGACTCACATCGCTTAATTAAAGTACCATCTATATTGTAAGAAAAGAGTATATCATCATGTTTTCTTGAGTAAGTTACGATGGAGCATTTATCAAGATTTAAGTAAAGTCGATTAACTGAGCACCAATTAACAACAGCTGTTAAATTGTTTTGTAGATTTAGACAATCCTGTATCGAGTTGATTTGGAAAAAAAGTTTTAAATCATCTGCAAACATTAACTTTTTACAAGAGATGTTATCAACGATATCATTAATAAAATATAAAAATAAAAGTGGTCCAAGGTTCGATCCTTGGGGAACACCTGAAGTAGGTTTGATAACAGTAGATGTAAAATTGCGATATCGAATATACTGTTCACGGTCGAAAATGTATGAAGTAAAAAGTTGGATAAGTCTGTCAGAGAATCCAAAGTGCTCAAGCTTATCGATTAGTAAATAGTGATCGATTTGATCGAATGCTTTTTGAAAATCAAGATATATGGTATCTACCTGCTTTTTTTTGTCAATGGCCTCAGATGTATACTGTGTAAAAGATGCTAGATTAGAAATTGTAGAGCGTTTCTCCATGAACCCGTGCTGAAACGGTGACAAATTGGTTTTGGTCGAAGCATAAATGTGTTTAAATAAAATCGACTCGAATGCTTTAGCAAAATTACAAAGCAGCGAAATGGGTCTGTAATTGACAATTTTCGATTGATTTCCTTTTTTAAATATCGGACAAACGATTGCCTTTTTCCAAATAACAGGAAAGACACCACACCTTAATATTAAATTAAATAAATATAAACAAGGTTTAATAAAAACATAAGCACAGTCCTTTAGAAGGAAGCTGGGCACACCATCGTGTCCCATAGTAAAAGAGTCTTTAGAACTTTTTAGTGCTGTAAGAACATCCTTTTCTGATATGGTTTCAAGATTAACCAAGACAGACGACCTAGTTTTAGAATTGGAAGAAGAAGTAAGCGGATTAGAGTTGGTATAAACACTGTTAAAATAGTGCGCAAATCCTTCAACTATAGATAGCGGTGATGTAAGCTCGGTATCATTGTATTCCATTACGCCTGGAATTTTAGAGTGACCTTTTTTGCCATGTACGAAAGCCCAAAATTTTTTTGGATTTGTGGAGACGCTGTTCTCGATATTAGAAATATAATTCTTGTATGCTGTGTCGATTAAAATGTTGAGCTGGGAACGATATGACTTGAAGATGTTATAATAGTATGGCGTTTTAAATCTTATGTAGTTACGATGTGCCATCGATTTATTACGAATGCAGGCAATAATGTCACCAGTGAACCAAGGAGGATAACTTTTACGAGATGGAGGCCTAACTTTAAACTTTGGTACCGACTTTTCAAATACTTTATATATACAGTCATAAAACCCGGTGCAGGCTTGATTGACATCACAGATTGAGTTTATGAAAGACCAGTCAGTCTCTGAAAAGAGCTTGTACATTAAATGATAATTGGCTTTCTTAAAATTATATGTTAATTTTTCCGTGTTCATCGCAAAATTGGGCTTAAACTGATCATCTACATAACAGTCCACAACCAGTGCTGGGTGATGTTTATCTTCAACCACTAACGGGGAATCTGCTTTACTTACTTTACAATTAATATTGGAGAACACTAAGTCTAGATACTTGTTGTAGCTGTTACAAATACAATTAAGTTGGATCAAATTGAAGAATTCTTTAAAATTAGTTAGGACAGAACTAGATCGATTTTTTAAGCCATCTACAAAACAGGGAGTGTTGAAGTCACCTAATATTATTAATTTGTCGTTCTGGATGATATTTAAGTTCATGAAGGATTCAAAAAACAAGTAGAAGTCATCAAAAGCAATTGTAGGTGGAATATAAATTACAAACATTAAAAATTTTGATTTACCCGTAATTTTAACGCCAACAATATCAATGCTTGGAACCAAGGTTGTGATAGAAGATAGATCAATACGTACTGAGTTGTAGAGGCTATCGACAGCAAGAAGAACGCCGCCACCTCTAGTTACATTAAGAGAATCCAAATTTCGATCCTGCCGATAAATAACAAAATTAGCTGGAAATAATTCACTACTGGAGATATCCGGTGTGATCCATGTCTCGGTGACTGCTATAAAATGATATTCACTTGCAGCTACTGAATTAAAAAATTGTACACATTTAGATCGCAAGCCTCTAACATTTTGGTAAAAGCACTGAGAACATTTAAGGTAATTGGGTGACGAAGTTAGTTTAAATGTTGACTCCTTCTTCCTTTATTAGCACGAGTGATTTGAGCAACATTGTTGTTATAAATTAACCTCAGATCTGATTCACCCCGTGATTTTCGAAGATTAATTTCTTCAATCACCGCATAGTTTTTAGCTCTTTGAAGTCTAGTAAGATCCGCTCGAAAGTGGAATTTCTTGTTGGGGTTAGTTTTATTCGAACGCAAATATAATTGGGCTTCTTCACAATCTTCGAAAACCATCTTTAAAGGGCGTGGTGCATTGGGTTTGGGAATACCCAAACGAAAAATCTTTTTTGGTTTTGGAAACTTACCCAAAGGCTCCACAATAGAGACAACTTGTTTTAGATCGTCCATAACCTTGACTTCGACTGAATTAGCAACGGATTCAGGTATGTTATACAAAATAACATTTTTGCTGCGTTCATTTCGATCACAGATTTCCCGAGCTACGTCATCGATGTTATTGGTAGCTTCGTTGTTTGGAGCTGACTCTCTAATTTCATTAATTTCAGTTTGCAATCTATGCATATTGTTTTCGATCTCGGACATTCTGTTGTTGACTAAAACAAGTTTACTATCTATAATTTGTGACATTTCAATCATAATATCAGCCTTAAATTTTAGAAACTGCTTCTCAATTATGTTTTCAATAGCAGATAGAGTGATGGGTGTTGACAAAGCGTTGGACAAGGAACAAGCTTTGCATACCCAAGATGCATCGGAGTAAGCGTCAGGCACATCTTCAGTGTAACATTTGATGTGGTAGTATTTATTACAAACACTACATTTAAGATGGGGTGTAGATGGCGTTACACCAGAACTACATATTGTGCAGTAAGCCGGCATGATTGAAATATAAATGAATCGGTAAAGGAAACACAAATTTTAAAGGGATAAACAGGGATACAATTCTTCGCACCTATAGGGCCTATTATGGTGACTTATAACGAGACAAACTAGGTAGACTAGTTTAATAACAATAAATTATTATTTCACAAAAAATCGTAAACACAACCATAAAAATCAGGTAAAAACAAATCCACAAAGTTTAGTCTAGCTGTTGATGATATTATCAATGTATTCTCTAAAATACTGCACTTTGACGTAAACCCCAGGACTCTGAGGGGCCCCACATCCATCACCCCACGACGTAACTCCAATAAGAACCCCATCACCGACAAACGGACCTCCAGAATCGCCCTTCAAGACACAAAATTATATACAAACAAAAAAACTTGAATTTTTTCAAACCTGGCAAGTATCCTTTTGACCCTGTATATACCCAGCACAAAGCATCCTCGACGTCATACTAGGACCATACACCAGCCTACAAATATCAGGCTTAAGAGTCGGCAAATCAACTTCTTGCAATTCTAAAGGTAGAGGACCATTAAGCGACAACCTTCCCCACCCCGTAGCCGTCCCCATGATATCTCCAGGAACATCATCTTCACTCTGTGGTGGTAAATCAACAGCTGCCACACCATCCCCAAAAATCAACCCTTCTGATAACTTCAAAATGGAGATATCGTAGTCGTAGGTAACCGGGTCAAACTTTTCGTGCTGGAAATATTTCTCCACTTGGCGTAGCTGTCCACCTTCGTTCATTATCGTCGATCCGGCTCGGATGTAGAGGTTTTGGGCTGCAACCCTGTTTTTGATTGGGTGAAAGTTGAAACAGGTGGGATTTTGGGGTAAACTTACTGGTTAGTGCAATGGGCTGCTGTTAATATGTAGTTGGAGTTCAAGATGGAACCGCCGCAGTAGTGGCTGTCGACGTAGATGACGGACACTTGGAAGGGGTGTTCTTCGATGGTGGTTGCCTTACCACCTACAATTCGGCCGTCTATGGGAGGTTTGCGGGCGTCAGTACCTAGAAAGTAGTTAAGGATTTTTATTCAGTTTTATTAATTTAGTCCAAGGATCCACTCACCTGCGAGAAGGACTACCCCAAGGACCCAAAAACAAACAATACTCATTTCTGTTTTTGATGTTGCACAACTCACTAGAATCAATATTGCTTCCACAATGCACTTGTTGACGTAAAGAATGCCAAACTCAAACACTTGTACGCACAGATAGAGTTATCATATCTATATAGTCCTCCTTAATCTCACCTGTTCTTGGGAAATTCCAATAGCGGAAATAATCACTTGCAAATTTTTGACTACCTTTGTTCGAGAGTTTTCTTATCAATCAACAAACCCATGATTTACGTGAATATTTATAATCAGTGATAAGTAGACATATGACCTTGTAACTCATAGTTGTCATTAAATGCAGTTGTTACAACACTGATATTTCAACTGATAAGGAAACTGTTGTCTGGGATAGTGAATGTATTTTTATTGTTCCTGCATCACTTTTCCTAGATTTTACGTTCGTCTAGAATTGTTTATGATTTTGTTATCTTCGTTCAGCGAAATTTTAAAAATCCTGTAAACAGGATGTCGTAGATGGTTTTATTATGGAACAGAGTTACATGTTTCGTTGTTATATCATTACTGAGGGAAGATATTATCTGGAGCTATTGTCACATTCTCAGTAGCAATATCAAGCAAAACAATTTAGTTTAATCTTGAACAGACGCTTTATTGTAGATTTTCTAACAATGTTTATAAATGTTGATAATAAATGTAGATAAAGTAATTAATTGTAAGCTCCATAAATCTTTTCCTTGAAGTCAACTGTCAAACTTAATTTCAATTTTTCCCGAATAAATAGACCATTGTGGTTACCACATTCAGTAAAACCACTGAAATTAACTTACTCTGCATTCAATTAAAGTTAAATAATTAACAATTAAAAAGTTAGATTATGGTTAGGACGCTAGAGAAATTGTTGAATGTTAATTACACCCGCTTTGTTTTTACCCTATCTTGATATATTCCAATTTTTTTTAAATCAAAGTTTTTCATTTACTGAATTTTTAATTGATTTTTCGCTTCTTTAATTTTTAGATATTTTAATATTTCGTTTTTTCAGTTTTTCGTTTCTTCGTTTCTTCATTTTTTTGATTTTCAATTTTCAGGTCTTAACCTTAATTTGTCAATTTTTCAATTTTTCGGTTTTTCTGTTTTTCGATTAGTATTTTTTCATTTTTTTGGTTTCTTCAATTTCTCGGTTGGGAATTTTTAGTTTTTATTTATAAATGCTAGATCTTAACAATTTTTCGAGTTTTCGGTTGTAGATTTTTTAATTTTTCTTTTTTTCAATCTTTTAAATTTTTCAATTTTTCAATTTAAAATTTTTATATTATATTATTTTTCCGCCTGTTATATTTAGAGTTTTCAATTTTAGACTTTTCAATTTTTTGGTCTTAAAATTTTTTGATACATCAATTTTTCGTTGTATCAATTTTTCAATTTTTCAGGTTCTTTATTTTTCAATTTTCCGTTTTTTTTCGTGTTTTGATTGGTAATTTTTCAATTTTTCGTTGAAATTTTCATTTTGAGATTTTCAAATTGCAATTTTCGATTTTATATTTTTTTATTTTTCGATTTCTCCATTCTTCAATTTGTAGATATTTTAATTTCTCGTTTTTTCAATTTTTTCGATTTTTGAGTTTTTTAATTTCTAATTTTTCGATTTTTCAACTTTTGTCAATTTCTTCTTCTTAATAATACTTCGCTGCTTCAATTCTTCGATTTGCAATCTTTGGTTTTTTGTTTTTGGTTTCTTCAGCTTTTTGGTTTGTAAGTTTTAGTTTTTATGAATGTTACATCTTGCAATTTTCCAAATTTGTTTTTTTACATTATATCACTTTTCCGTCTGTTATTTTTGGAGTTTTCAATTTTAGATTTTTTAACTTTAGAATGTTTAAATATTTCTATTTTTGATTTTTATAATTTTCATTGGTTCTGTTCTTCAGTACATGTTTCCAGTATTTAGTTTATCAATTTTTAATTAGTGACTTACTTTATTTATTTTTCAATTTTTGGGCCTTCAAATTTTTTGATACTGTGATTTTTGTTTTATCAATTTTCCAATTTTTCAGTTTTTTGATCTTTCAATTTTTCGGTTTATCTGTTTTCAATTCGTAAGTTTTCAAATTTTCGATTTTACATTTTCTTTATTTTGAAATTTTTCGAATTATCGATTTTTCAATTTTTAGGTATTTTAGTTTCCCGTTTTCCATTTTTTCGATTTTTGAGTTTCTTAATTTTTAATTTTTCAATTTTTCAATTTTTCAGTTCTTCGCTCCTTGAATTCTTCGTTTTGCAAATTTTTCGTTTTTTTGGTTTCTTCAACTTTTCGGTTTTTAATTTTCAGTTTCTATAAATGTTACATCTTCCAATGTTTCGAGTTTTCAGTTAAAAATTTTTCATTAATTTTTTTTTTTCAACTTTTGAATTTTTCAATTTAAGAGTTTTCAGACATTTTAATTTTTCGAATTTTCAGCTTTTGAATGTTTAAATTTTTCTATTTTTGATTTTTTATATTCGGTTCTTCAGTACATATTTCGATATTTAATGTTTCGATTTTTAATTTGTGCCATTCAATATTTGGAGTTTTCGACTTTAAATTTTTCAGTTTTTCGTCTTCAAATTTTTGGAAACTTTAAAATTTGGTTTTATCAATTTTTCAGTTTCTTTATTTTACAAATTTTCGATTTTTCTGTTGTCAATTGGCAAATTTTCACTTCGTAATTTTCGATTTTACACTTTTTCTCTTTTTCGATGTTTCAACCATCAAATTTTCCAAGTTTTCGATTTCTCGAATTCTTCAGTTGTAGATATTTTAATTTTTCGTTCTTTCCATTTTTTCGATTTTTGAGTTTCTTAATTTTTATTTTTTGATTTTTCAACTTTCCAATTTTTTCATATTCTTCGCTTCTTCAATTCTTCTATTTGTAATCTTTCATTTTTTTGGTTTCTTGGACTTTTCGGTTTGTAAATTTTAGTTTTTATAAATGTTAGATCTTACAATTTTTCGAAATTTCGGTTTTAAATTTTTTAATTTTCTTTTTTTCGTCTTTTGAATTTTTCAATTTTCCAATTTCAAAAGTTCAGATTATATCAGTTTTCCGTCTGTTATTTTTATAATTTTCAATTTTTTGATTTTTGTACTTTTGAATGTTTAAATTTTTCTATTTTTGATTTTTATAATTTTCAAGATTCGGTTCTTAAAATTTTTGGATACGATTTTTCTATTTTCCAATTGGTAATTTTTCAGTTTTTCGATTTTAAATATTTTCAATTTGCATTTTTCGATTTTACATTTATCTATTTTTCGATTTTTCAACTATTAAATTTTATCAATTTTTGATTTCTTGATTCTTCAATTTGTTCATATGTACTGTAATTTTTCGTTTTTTCATTTTTTCGATTTTTGAGTTTCTTAATTTTGTAATTTTTCGTTTTTTCAACTTTTCAATTTTTCAATTCTTGGATTTGCAATTTTTGGTTTTTTTGGTTTCTTCAAATTTTCGGTTGGTAATTTTTATTTTTTTTAATGTTTTAATGTTAGATCTTAAATTTTTCGAGTTTTCGGTTCTGAATTTTTTTTTCATTTTTGAATTTTTTAATTTTCCAGTTTACAATGTTACTATTTTCCGTGTGTTATTTTTAGAGATTTCAATTTTAGACGTTTTACTTTTTCGATTTTTCATCCTTTATAAATTTGTCTGTTTTTGATTTTTATAATTTTCAATGATTTGGTTCTTCTGTACATATTTCGGTATTTAATTTTTCGAATTTTAATTTTTTACTTACAATATTTGGAGCTTTCAACTTTAAAGTTTTTTAATTTTTCGGTCCTCTAGTTTTTGGTTTTATCAATTTTTCATGTTTTCAGTTTCTTTATTTTTAAATTTTTCGGTTTTTGTGTTTTTACCGTTTGTAATTTTTCAATTTTTCTATTTGAAATTTTCAATATGTAATTTTCGATTTTATACCGTTTCTATTTTTTCGATTTTCCAACTTAAATTTTTCAGTTTTTCGATTACTTGTTTCTTCAATCTATAGATATTTTAATTTTTCGTTTTTTAATTTTTTTGATTTTTGACTTTTAATTTTAACTTTTTCCATTTTTCAATTATCCAATTTAAAACGTTTAGATTATATAACTTCTCCGTTATTTTTAGGGTTTTCAATTTTAGACTTTCCAATTTTTCGATTATTCAACTTTTGAATGTTAAAATTTTTTTATTTTCGATTTTTATAATTTTCAATTATTCGATTCTTCAGTACATATTTCCGAATTTAATTTTTCGATTTTTAATTTGTGACTTACAATAAATGGAGTTTTCGACTTTAAATTTGTCAATTTATCGGTCTTCAAATTTTTGGATACTTTAATTTTTCGTTTTATCAAATATTCAATTTTTCAGTTTCTTAATTTCCCAATTTTTCGTTTTTTCTGTTTTTCCACCGATAATTTTTCAATTTTTCGCTTTGAAATTTTCTGTTTTGCAATTTTCGATTTTACATTTTTTCTATTTTTTGATTGCTCGATTTGTAGATATTTTAATTTTTCGTTTTTTTAATTTTTTCGGTTTTTGAGTGTATTAATTTTTAATTTTTCGACTTTTCAACTTTCCAATTTTTCATTTCTTCGCTTCTTCAATTCTTGGATTTGCAATCTTTCGTGTTTGTAGTTTCTTCAAGTTTTCGGTTTGTAATTTTTAGTTTTTATAAATCTTAGATTTTACTATTTTTCTAGTTTTCTTTTTTTCCGTCTATTATTTTTAGTGTTTTCAATTTTAGACTTTTCGATTTTTCAACTTTTGAATGTTTAAATATTATTTTCTATTTTTGATTTTTGTAATTTTCAATGATTCGGTTCTTCAGTACATATTTTGGTATTTAATTTTTCGATTTTTTATTTGTAGATTTAACAATATTTGGAGTTTTAGACTCTAATTTTTTGTTTAATCATTTATTCAGTTTCTTGATTTTTCAATTTTTCGGTTTTTCTGTTTTTCGATTGATAATAATTTTCCAATTTTTCAATTTGAAATTTTCAATTTGCAATTTTCGATTTTTAATTTTTTAATTTTTCTGTTTTCCAATTTAAAATGTTTAGATTATCCCAGATTTTGATTTATTATTATTTGTCGAATTTTCAATTTTAGATCTTTAAATTTTTCGGTTTTTCAGTTTTTGAATGTTTAATAATTAATTTAACGTAATTTTAATTCGTAGTGATTTAGTAATTCGTGAATCAAGAATAATATAATAATATTTTGTATACAGTTAACTTGTCATTAAATCTAGCTATTACAACGTTGTGATATTTCAATTGATAAAAAATCTATCGTCTGGGATAATTAGCATATTTTTATCCTCCTGATATCACTTTTCCCAGATTTTAACTTCTCCAAGAATTGTCTGTTTCTTATTTTCATTCAAATGATTTTTTTTACGATATTTTTAATAAAAATTCTGTAAGCAGGATGTCGAAGATGCTTTTATTATGAAACAGAGTTATGTCTGGCATTATTATATCATTATTAATGGCAGGTATTATCTTCATTCTTAGTAGCAATATCAATCAATAAAACAACTCAATTTAATCTTTAACAAACGCTTTATTTCAAAGACTCTAACAATGTAAGTAATGCTGTTCACTATTTATAAATGTTAGTGATAAATGCAGATAACCTAATTCCTTAATTATTAGCCCCATAAATCTTTTCCTAGAATTCAACTCTCAAACTTAATTTCAATTTTTCCCGAATAGATAATAATCCATTGTGGTTACCACAATCAATGAACCCAATTATAATATGCACGCTAAATATTTATCATCAGTTAGGAAAGTTTAATGAGTGCAAACCAACGAAAACTTACTCTAATTACATTCTATTAAAGCCAAATAATTAACTCGATGCGAATAACTATTAAAAAGTTAGGTTATGATTAAACTGCTAGAGAAATAGTTGAATGTTAATTACATTACACCCCAGTTTTGTTTTTAACCCATTTTCGGAATTTAGCCACCCGTGAATACACCCCTGGATAATTCTTTTCGGCACACCCGTAACCCCAGGACACGATCCCGACTTGCTTTCCCTTGGCGAAGAGCGCTCCGCCCGAGTCTCCGTAGCAGGAATCGCACACAGCTTTTTGACACCCAGCACAGAACATTCGAGGCGTAATTTCTGCCAAACCTTTGTATTTTTTGCGACAGGTGTTTTGGTCGTGGACGACGAGGGAGATTTTTTGGAGACGTGGGGAAAATACGCTAGACTGCAAGAAAAAGTTGGGTTATAGTTGGCTGTGTGATTAATTTACCTCTTGTGTTGTAGTCCCCCACCCGGTCACTGTAGCTGGTGTGGAGACATCGATGGGTTCGTTAAATTCCGGTAAGGCTATAGGCAAAATCGTGTCGCCGAAGATTAACGGGTTGCATAACTACAATATAAATAGTGGTGATGAGTCAAACTTTGATGTACTTTACTTTAAGGACGGCGATGTCGTAGTCGTAGTAGCCCTTTCCTGTGTAATTTTGGTGGCTAGTGGCGCCACAAACATGTCTGATGGTTCCTCCTTTGTTGGAAAAGTGGCTGCCGGCTCTTATTTTTAACGATTTGACGGGTTCCCTGGAAGTTGTGTTGTTATTTTTTGAATTTATTTGTTTTTTGGAAGTGGTACCCTTCTAAACAATGAGCTGCCGTTAAGATGAAGCTTTTGTGGATGATGGAGCCACCACACTGGTGGCCTTTGTTGTTTTGTATGGACACTTGGTAGGGGAAATAGTGAATGTCTGCAGGGCTTCCTCCTATAATGCGTCCGTCGAGTGACGCTTTAGCTAAAATGAAGGTGACTTTAGATTCAGTCTAAACTCTAAAGTGTACTTAATTATTTGTTTGCACATGTGACGCAAACAGAAACGCAAATGCGGAAAACGGAATGAGTGATTATTGTGAAGGCACCTTTATGCTATTTTAAGATGTGAGATAACGTTTGATAACAGGATAATACGATATTGTTTTGTCTAATCATTGTGACAAGTGGGAAAAATCTCTAAATTTTGGGCTATAGGTCAATTGGTTTGTTCAGACGGTGACCCTGTCCTAGTTTATTGTGTTATCATAAAACACTTTCCTGTGACACATATATAAACAATTCAATTTTTGTTTTCTGATAATTTTGAAAATGGGAAAATTGAAAAACCGAAATATCTAAATCCGAAAAGTCCAACAATTGAAATATCAAAAAACTCGAAAAATTATAATATCGAAAAATCCAAGAATTGAAGAATCTCCAAAATCGGAATGTTGAAAAATTTATAAATCGAAAACTTGAAAATTCGAGAAACCGAAAATTCGAAAAATTTTAAAAATCGAAAAACCGAGATGTGGGCAAATCGAAAAACTGAAGTATTAAAAATAAAAAAAATAAAATCGAAATATCAAAAAATCTAAAATTGTGAATATGTATTTAAAAGGTCGAAAATTGAAAAACCTAAAAACTAAAAAATCGATAAATTGAAAGATCCCAAAAGTGAAATCGAAAAATTGAAAAAGGAAACATCGAAAAATTAGAAGATCGATAAATCGAAATAACAAATCGAAAAATCGGAAAATCGGAAAATCGAAACCTTAATAGGTCCAGAAATGGAAAAGTCAAGAAGTCAAAAACCGAAAAATCAAAAGTTAAAAATTGAAAATTTGAAAAATTTAAAGTGAAAAACTAAAAAATCAAAAAACTAAAATGGAGAAATTGAAAAGTGAAACATCGAAAAATTGGAAGATCGATAAATCGAAAAGCCGAAAAGTCCAAAAACCTGGGCAATCGGAAAATCGAGAAATCAAAATGGCATAAAATCGTAAAATCAAAAATTAAACATTGATCACTTGGAAAATTTCAAATTAAAAAATCGATAAATAAAAAAATCAAAGAATTGAAGAATCGAAAAATCGAAATCTAGTTAAATCCAAAAATTGAATAATTGAAAAATTTAGAAATCGAAAAAGTCGAAGAATTTAAAAACCGAGAGTTCGAAACATCTGAAGATCGAGCAATCGAAACATCAACAAAATCGAAAAAACTGGAAAAATCGAGGAATCGAAATTTCCAAAAATTTAAAAAATCGAAAAACTGAGATGTGGAGAAATAAAAAAAATTGATGTTTTAAAAATTTAAAAAATAACTGAATCGACAAATCAGAAAATCCTAAAATCGAAAATTGTGGAAAGTTAAAAAGTCGAAAACTGGAGAATCGAGAAATTGAAAAATTCCGAAACTGAAATAGAAAAATTGGAAAGGGAGAATGCAAAAAATTAGAAGATCGATAAATCGGAAAAAATTGAAAAGTAGAAAAAAATCCAAAATGTTGGAAATCGGAAAATCTAAAAATCGCAACATCTAAAAATCAAAAAATCAAAAATTCAAGAAGTCGAAAAGAAGAAACTTGAAATAGCAGAAAATCGAAAAATCAAAAATTAAAAATTGAAAATTAGAAAAATTTAAAATTAAAAGAAAGCTGTAAATCGAAAAGTCAGAAAAATTGAACAATCGAAAAACCGAAACATCGAAATGTTAAATCCAAAAATTAAAAAATCGAGGAATTGAAAAATCCAAAAATTTTAAAAATCGAAAAACTGAGATGTCGAGGAATCGAAAAATTGAATTATTAAAAATTTAAAAAACATAAATAGAATCAGAAAATCGTAAAACCGAAAATTGTGAACATTTAAAAAAATCAAAAAACTAAAACATCGAGAAATTGAAAAATCCCAAAACTGAAATAGAAAAATTGAAAAGAGAAATATTGAAAAATGGGAAGATAGATAAATAAAAAAAAAATCGAAAAGTCGAAAAACCTGAGAAGCGGAAAATCGGGAAATCGAAACATAAAAAGATCGAGAAATCAAGTCAAGAAGTCGAAAAACTGAAAAATTGAGAAATCCAAATAGCGCAAAATCGATAAACCAAAAATTAACAGTTGAAAATTTAAAAAATTTAAAATAAAAAGGAAAAATCAAAAATTGAATAATCAAAAAATCGAAACGTCGAAATCTTGTTAAATCCCGAAATCGAAAAAACTGAAACACTGAAAAATCGTAAAATAAAAAAAAACGAGGAATTTAAAAACCGAGAAGTCGAAAAATTGAAAGATCCAGCAATCGAAATATCAAAAAATCGAAACATAATATCGAAAAATTAAAGAATTCCAAAATTAAAGAATTCCTAAAATTGAAATGTTCAAAAATGGATAAATTAAAAACTTGAAAAATCGAGGAATTGGAATTGAGGTATTACAAATTTAAAGAATAACTAAATGAACACAGAATTAAAATTAAATTAAAATTGAATAATTGAAAAAGAAACACCGAAAAATTGGAAAATCGATAAACTGAAAAAAATCGAAAAATCGAAAAAGTTGGTAATTGATAAATAGGAAAATTGAAACATCGAAAAATCAAAATATCAAAACATTGAGAGATCGAAAAGTCAAGAAGTCCAAAAATCGAAAACTTGAAAAATCGAAAAATCAAAAATTATAAATTGAAAATTTGAAAAATTTAAAAAAAAAGGTAGATCGAAAAATCAAAAATTTGTACAATCGAAAAATCGAAACCTTGTTAAATCTAGATTAAGTCAAAAAATCGAAAAATTAAATTAAATAGTCGAAAAATTGATGAATCGAAAATTGAAAATTCAAGAAATCAAAATTCGAAAATCAAGAATTTTAGAAAACGAAAAATTGAAAATTCAAAAAGATGAAAAACGAAAATTTCGAATAATTGAAGAATTGAAAAACTGAAAAATCGAGAATTCCATACGTCAAGCAATCGAAACATCGAAAAGTCAAAAAATCGAGAAATTGAAAAATGGGAAAATCAAAAAACCTAAAATCGTAATCTAAAAATCAAAAAATCGAGAAAACGAAAAGAGGAAAAATCGATTAATCGACAAATTGAAAATTCAGGAACGTCAAAAATGGAAAAATCGTAAAATCGAAATATGGGAAAATTGGGTAATCGAAAAATAAGAAAATTGTGTAAAGGAAATGAAAAAAAAAACAAAAATTGTTAATATAGAAATTGCCAAATGGAGAAATTGAAAAATTAAAAATTGTACAAGTCGAAAATTGAAGAATGAAATACATAACTGAAAAATCCAAAAACTGAAATATTGAAAAATTGAGAAATCGGGAGTTGAAGGGAAATCGAGAAATCAAAAAATCGAAAATTTTGAAATTAGAAAAATTAAAAAATCGAAATGTAAAAAGTCGAGAAATCCAAAAAGCAAAAATGTAAGAATCAAAATGTTGGGAAAACCCAAAATTGAAATATCGAAAAACTGCTAAATCTATTTTTGACATTGCTGAATCAAATAACTCAATAATTCTATAATTGAAATTTCAAAAAATTGAGAAATTGGTTGTTGAAAAATCGAAAAACAAAAAATAAAAAAATAGAAAAAGTGAAATAATCGAAAAAATCGAGAAACGGAAAAATGTAAAATTTAAAACATCGAAAAAGTAAAAAAATGGAGGAATCGGAGTATCAAGAAACCAAAAATTTTAAGAATCAAAAAAATTAAAAATTTCAAAATCAGACAATTGAAAAATTGAAGAATTAAAAAACTGAAAAAATCGAGAATTTGGGACGTCGAGCAATCGAAACATCGAAAAGTAGAGAATTCGAGAAGCGAAAAAATAAAAAAATTGAAAATTCGAAAATCTAAAAATCGAAAAGTAAAAAACCGAGAAATTATAAAGACAAACAATTGGTTAATCAAGAAATAAAAAATTTAGGAGCTCCAAAAATGAGAAATTTTAAAACGAAAATATGTATTGGAAAATTGAGAAACGAAATATAAAAAACTCAGAAACCAAAAATAAAAAAAAAACCAAAAACTGAAAATAAAGAAACTGAAAAATTGAAAAATCCAAAAATTGAAGAACAAAATAACTAAAAATATCCCAAAACAATTTTTCAATTTCAAAGTTAAACTGTAAAATGTTGTTATAAATTTTTTTTCTGAAAATCTCGATGTCTAGGATAAAAATTCAACACGGATTCATAAGTCACAAGTTCAGGTCTATCTTACTTTTTAACATTTAAATAACAGTTATTTCACAAAATTGTATCAATTCCTGAGAGGGAGAGGGGAATGGACGGATAAATTTTGACTAACAATGCAATTTACCATGATTACGATAACCTTACGATATCCTCTCGGGAAGTAAAAATAAAATTACTATATAGTGCACACGTAAGACTACATAAATTAAAATTATAAAATAATCAAATCATTAAACTTACCGGAAAGAATGAAATTCGCACTTAAAATAACTACGACACAGAAAAGTTTCAACGGTATCATCTTGAAGCTACTGATTATCTGTACTGAAAAAATAAATATTTGATCTTTTACAGTGATAGCCTGTTATAATTCAAGCGGTAAATATTGTGTGTTGTTTATAAAAACCCACAAAAGAACAAAAGTCTAGAGTAAACATAGATTACTATATATAGTCCCACTGCATCACATACGACAATTTTGTGATGTTTGATAATAATTTATTACCAGAATATTTAATTGTTTAGAAACCATGTAGCAAAAAAATTCCGTTGTTGTCGTTTAAATTATTCCACAGTGCAGTGACAAACAGATAGTTGTTTTAAAATTTATTCAGCATTCAGTAACTACATAACATTTCATCTATATTCCAGAGTTATCCTTGATCCATTGTCGCACTGAAGCCACACTGGTGTAAACTCCTGGATAGCCGACCTCTGCACACCCCTCACCCCACGAAACGATCCCCACCAAGACGCCATCTTTAGTCAACGGACCACCAGAATCTCCCTAACAACAACACAATAAAAAACCACAACAGCCACAAAGTTTTGTTTTACCGAGCAGGAGTCTTTTCCTCCCTCTGGAACCCCAGCACACACCATGGTGGCATCAATCGTGGCATCTTCGACATCGGCGTAGTCAGCAGCACACTCGTCTCGATCGACCACGGTGACCTCCACACCGTATAAGTCAGTAGGTGCGGTACCATCGTCCTCCTGTTCAACACAATCAACACTTTGTGGCACCTTGCTATGTAATTAATAAATAGAATTAACATACACTGAGAATTCCCCATCCGGTTACTTTCACGGTATCACCAGCAACCGGATCTTCATCTGTCAGCGGTACTGCTTGTGTGGTGTCGCTAAAAGTCAGAGGTTCGTTGAGCTGTGGACGAAAATGGAGTTATTGTTACCAAAAATAATGACAAGTCTTACAATAATGAGGGCGGAGTCGTTGCTCAAACCGTCGTACCCCTCATGGACGATGGTGTCTTTGATGGTGGAACGAGTCGGGTTTCCTAGAAGGTCCGCACTTCCTGAAACCACTTCATACAAGAGGGAAAGCACACTGGAAACTAGTTTTAGTACATACTTAAATGGAAAAAATACAAGTTACCCATCAACGCAGTGAGCAGCAGTCAGAATGGTGTCTTCAGAAATAATGGAACCACCACAATTGTGCAAACCGAAGACTTGCAAAGACACTTGCCATGGGTTGTCTTCGATGGTTTCCGTATTCCCACCCACGATTCGTCCATGGGGACGCTGTCGCCTCAATTTTGGTGGTACCACACCACCTGACCAAAGAATTGGTTGTTTGGTGACAATTTTAACAAAGTACCGAGTTACCTGAGACTAAAGTCACTACAAAAACAAACACGATAGAGTAGCGCAACATTTTGGAATCGGTTGGGTGGGCACTTGAGTGATATTTATAGTGCAAACAATTATCATTCAAGTGTGTGATAAGTTGATAAATGAGAGACGTGAAAATTTTCACCAATTTTTATGTATATGTACAGAATTTATCAATTAATTATTTTATAAGTGGTACTTTATCTATATTCCAGAGTTATCTTTGATCCATTGCCTGACCGAAGCGACGCTCGTGTAAACCCCTGGGTAGCCCACTTCCGCACACCCAACACCCCACGAAACGATCCCAACCAAAACGCCGTCTTTAGTCAAAGGACCACCAGAATCGCCCTAAAAAATCTAAATAAGTACTACAAACTAAAAATAACAATGTCGTTTTTACCGAGCAGGCGTCTTTTCCTCCTTCTGGTACTCCAGCACACACCATGGTGTCGTCCACAGTCGCACCTTCAACGTCTGCATAATCAGCAGCACATTCGCTTCTATCGACGATGGTGACCTCAACACCATACAAGTCGTTCGGTGTGAAAAAATCCGATTCCTGTTCAAAACTAACCTAGTACTTTTGGTGGTTTGAAATCAAGACGTACCGATAGTACTCCCCATCCTGTCACTTTAACGGTGTCACCGGCAACCGGATCTTCGTCAGTGAGTGGTACTGCCTGGATGGTGTCCCCAAAAGTCAGAGGCTCGTTCAGCTAAACAAACCGTACTGTTACTAATTTTATAAAGCCAAAATTCAGTCTTACAATGACGAGCGCGGCGTCGTGCCCCAAACCATCGTAACCCTCATGGACGATGGTCTGTTTAATCGTGGAGTGAGTACCGTTTTGGAGAAGATCGGCAGTTCCTGAAACCACTTCATAGAACACAGAAATCGCCCTAGAAAATGATTTTAGTGAAAACAAAATGGACACAAAGTCTAAGTACCCATCAATGCAGTGAGCAGCGGTCAGAATTGTGTCTGCAGAAATTATAGAACCACCGCAGTTGTGCAAACCGAAGGCTTCCAAAGACACTTGCCATGGGTTGTCCTCGATGGTGGCTTTAGTTCCCCCGATGATCCGTCCATCGGGGCGCTGTTTCTTCAGTTTCGTTGGTACGGTACCACCTAGAGAAAAACATTATTGTTGGAATAGAGGAACTAAGAGTTACCTGAAACTAGAGCTACTAGAACAAGAAAGACGACTGTGTAACGTAACATTTCTTCGAAGTGAGTGTCTGGACGTCTGGAGGTATATTTATAGCAGACAGATCACTCGAGTGTGATATCTGGCAGACGAAAAGATGTTTATCTGTCTAATTTTTAACTTGGGTTCTAAGTACGGCTTTCGCAACGCTCACCTTGGTGTTTAGTACTTAGTCTCTAAATTGTTTATTACGAAAAAATGAGTGATTGTTGTGTAATGGAAATCAGTGGGTACTTGTGGGGAGTACTAAGTATAGCGACAATTCGTATGGGTACCAGAGTGTATTTTTAACATCTTCCACATTTCGAAGTGAAGGTGACGATTTTTAAAAATAATAAAAATTGATCACCAAACCATTGTGTAATAAATAAAAAATTTTCGGGACGGTAACAAAAACCTGCAAAGTTTCATAGTGATAAGAAACACTAAATAAACTAAAATTATAAGTTGTCATAATAAGAAAAATTGGAGATAATAGTGAACAATAAAATTTGTTCGATGATTTTTTAAGGACATGATGAATATATGCCAAAGGTTCAAATGGTGCTGAAAGGTACACCTCAGGGATTATGTCCATCCTCCACATTATTTAACTGTTGTATAAATGACTTGAAGTATGTTTTTTGAACAAAAAAGTACACTAGCACAAGTTCTCCGTCTGCTTTTTTTTATAAAATAAATTTATGGATTTTGTAAAAAGTGTGTAAAGAAAACTCTATTTATTATGTGCATAGTAATAATTTCAAATATTGTTGGTTTTCTGCTTTTAAAAGCTCTACAGGGTGCTTAATTTAGCAAGACAATATTTCTTGTAATTGCGAATTGCTAGTAGTCGATGGTGAAAAATGGATCACTCTGTATATTATCTATTATGTATTAAAAAAAGTTTATTTTTTAACCCTCAATTTCACAATTTTTGTTTAAAATTGGCTTTCCATTCAATGTTAATTAGTTATAATAAAATGACATATGACATAGGCAACCAGTAATACACATTTTGAATAAATGCGTTTAAAGCGACAAACTTTTATTACGACACTTGTAACAACTTTTCCGTAATCTATTCGACCTACAAACATTTATAAACACCCTGTATAATTTAAACACGCATTCCAGACCAATTAAGCGATTTTTCGAAAATGTCAAGTTCGACGATGTGACAATTAATTCGCGAAGTTGGCGTTGGTTTAAGAAAATATTTGTGGTCAAGATGGACGTTCTGGCGTACCTGACCACCGTTAATTACTTAATTTCAGGTAAAAACTAAACAATTAAGTAAAAATTGGTGTTTCACACGTGTATTTGTAACCAGATACCACGTCCCAAACATTATTTTGTGTCGGAACGGCGATCGGTGAACTTTTGTGGTGAGTGATAAAAGTGGTGTCGGGTACCGGAAACCAAAATGCCATTTTCGCCAGGAAATATTACCGGTAAGTCGATAAATTATTGCGATTCGAACACATTTGTCCCAAATTTGTGTTAAAAACTTAAAAATGCCAACCGCAGTGGGTGGAAGCGATTGCCGCACAAAATCGTAGTAGCCGTGGACGCTGATTTTGCAAAACCACCCTTAATGACAATGGAGTCCTCAACCGCCAAAACAAGCGCCAAATTTAAATAGTCGATGCTAATTAAAAAACTTGATTCACTACAACTCGTCGCCTGAGAACTTGTTTGATTTACAGACCAGAGCGCGCTCAGGCCAATGTCGACTCTAAGCGTTCAGAAGCGATTTGGTTGGTTTAGAGTATAATTTCTGCGGGAAATAGTTGTTCGGTCGGTTTTTATAACGACTAAAAGTGAATATTTTTGGTACATACATATTTAGATGATTTTACATATTTTGTTTAACTAAGAATTAATTCTTTATTTGTGGAAACACTGTGTACTATTTTGTACGATTTTTTTTTAATGTTTTTAGTGACAATTTTTGTGGTTGTTTTCGATACACTGTATCATATTAACAGTGAGAAAAAAAAAACAATTAAAATAATCGAAAATTCGAAAAATCGAGAAATCTAATAATCGAAAAATCGAAACCTTAAAAAATCGTAAAACCAAAACATTGAAAAATCGAAATATCGAAGAACTGAAGATCGAAAAAATGTAAAATTTAAAAATCGAATAACGAAAAATCGAGAAATCAAAAGATCAAGAAATCGTGGAGTCGAAAAGTCGAACAATTGAGAAACCGAAATAGGTCAAAATCGAAAAGTTAAACATTGAACAATTTATAAATTGAGAAATTGACAATCAAAATATCGAAAAATCCAAAACTTGATAAATCGAGAAATCAAAAAACTTAAAAATTCGAAAATTGAAAAATTGAGAGATTGAAAGATCCAAAGAACGAAAAGTAATGAAGTCGAAAAATCGAAAAATAGTAACATTGACAAACAAAAAGTTAAAAGTAGAAAAATTGGAAAAGCGGAAAAATCAAAAAACGAAAAAATGGAAAACTGGAAAAACTGAGAAACCGAAATAGGCCAAAATAAAAAATTGAAAAATGATAAATCGAAAACCTGAACAATCAAATCGCGATAAAGCGGGAATTGAAAAATTGAAAAAGAGAACATCTAAAATCAGGAAGTCGAAAAATAGAAATATTAAGAAATATTGAAAAATTCAAATATCAAAAATTGAAAAATCGAAAAAGTAAAAAGGTAGACACATCGAAAAATTCAGAAGTCAAAAATAGAAATGACGAAGAATTGAAATATTGAAAGTCCTAAAACTGAAAAATGTAAAAACTGAAAAATCGAAAAATCAAAAAAGTGAAGTCGAAAAATAGAAAACTTAAAAAATCGAAAAACTGAAAAATCAATAACCTGAAAAATTAAAGAATTGAAGAAGGAAAATCGAAACACTCGAAGGTCAAGAAATGGGGAAATCAAAACATCGATTAATTGAAAAATCGAAAAATTGAGAGTTTATAAAAGTCAAATTTGAAAAATTAAAGAAGCGAAAATTTGACAAAATGACAATTGAAAAACAGAAAATCTAAAACCGGGAAGTCGAAAAATCGATTGATTAAGAAATTTGAAAAATTCGAAATCTTGAAAAATTGAAATATCGAAGAACTTATATGAAAAATCGAGAAATCGAAAAATCCAAAATTTTAAAAATTAAAAAATTCAAAATTTAAAAATCGAAAAATTGAAAAATCGAAAAAGCAAAAAATTCAACACATCAAAAAATCCAGGAGTCAAAAATCGAAAAGTCGAAGAATCGAAATATTGAAAAATTCCAAAACTGAAATATCCAAAAATCTAAAGAATGGAAAAATTGAGAATTCGAAAAATCAAAAAAGTGAAGTCGAAATATCGAAACCTTAAAAAATCGAAAAATTGAAAAATCAAAAACCTGCAAAATCGTAAGACCGAAAAATTGAATAATAAGTAAACTGAGAAATTAAAAAATTGAAAAATTGAGAAATCGGAAAATCAAAAAAGTGAAATTGAAAAATCGAAACCTGAAAAAATAGAAAAATTGAAAAACCAAAAAACATTAATTGAAAAAACAACAAATAAAGACTTTATAAAAGTCAAAAATTGAAAAATCGAAATATTTAAAAATGGTGAAATTGAAGAGGAATACTGAAAACCGAAAAATTGAAAAATTGAGAAATCGTAAAATCCAAAAATTGAAAAATAAAAAGGAGTAAACTGAAAGAAATCGAAACATTTGAAAAATTTGAAAACTTGAAAAATTGAAATATTGAAGAACTGAAATGAAAAATCAAAAAATCTAAAATTTTAAAAATTAAAAAATCTAAAATTTAAAAATTGAAATATTGAAAAATCGAAAAAGTAAAAAAATCGACACATCGAAAAATCCAGGAGTCAAAAATCAAAAAGTCGAAGAATCGAAATATTGAAAAACCCAAAACTAAAATATCGAAAAACTGAAAAATGAAAGAAAAACTGACGAATCGAAAAACTGAAAAATCCCAAAACTGAAATATCCAAAAATCTAAAGTATGGAAAAATTGAGAAATCGAAAAATCAAAAAAGTGAATTCGAAATATCGAAACCTTAAAAAATCGAAAAATTGAAAAATCAAAAACCTGCAAAATCGTAAGATCGAAAAATTGAATAATAAGTAAACTGAGAAATTAAAAAATTGAAAAATTGAGAAATCGGAAAATCAATAAAGTGAAATTGAAAAATCGAAACTGAAAAAATAGAAAAATTGAAAAACCAAAAAACATTAATTGAAAAAACAACAAATAAAGACTTTATAAAAGTCAAAAATTGAAAAATCGAAATATTTAAAAATGGTGAAATTGAAGAGGAATACTGAAAACCGAAAAATTGAAAAATTGAGAAATTGTAAAATCCAAAAATTGAAAAATAAATAGGAGTAAACTGAAAGAAATCGAAACATTTGAAAAATTCGAAAACTTGAAAAATTGAAATATTGAAGAACTGAAATGAAAAATCAAAAAATCTAAAATTTTAAAAATTAAAAAATCTAAAATTTAAAAATTGAAAAATTGAAAAATCGGAAAAGTAAAAAAATCGACACATCGAAAAATCCAGGAGTCAAAAATCAAAAAGTCGAAGAATCGAAATATTGAAAAACCCAAAACTAAAATATCGAAAAACTGAAAAATGAAAGAAAAACTGACGAATCGAAAAACTGAAAAATCCCAAAACTGAAATATCCAAAAATCTAAAGTATGGAAAAATTGAGAAATCGAAAAATCAAAAAAGTGAAGTCGAAATATCGAAACCTTAGAAAATCGAAAAACTGAAAAATCCCAAAACTGAAATATCCAAAAATCTAAAGTATGAAAAAATTGAGAAATCGAAAAATCAAAAAAGTGAAGTCGAAATATCGAAACCTTAAAAAAATCGAAAAATTGAAAAATCAAAAACCTGCAAAATGGTAAGATCGAAAAATTGAATAATAAGTAAACTGAGAAATTAAAATATTGAAAAATTGAGAAATCGAAAAATCAAAAAGTGAAGTTGTAAAATCGAAACCTGAAAAAATAGAAAAATTGAAAAACCAAAAAACATTAATTGAGAAATCAACAAATAAAGACTTTATAAAAGTCAAAAATTAAAAAATCGAAATATTTAAAAATCGTAAAATTGAAGTGGAAAACTGAAAACCGAAAAATTGAAAAATTGAGAAATTGTAAAATTCAAAAATTGAAAAATAAATACGAGTAAACTGAAAGAAATCGAAACATTTGAAAAATTCGAAAACTTGAAAAATGGAAGTATTGAAGAACTGAAATGAGAAATCGAGAAATCGAAAAATCTAAAATTTTAACACATCGTAAACTCCGGAAGCCAAAAATTGAACAGTCGTAGAATCAAAATATCGAAAAATCCCAAAACCGAAATATCGAACAACTGAAAAATGAAAGAAAAACTGAAAAATGGAACACCTGAAAAATCCGAAAACTGAAATATCTGAATACTGAGAACCTAAGCAGTCGAGAAACTGAGCAATAGAAAAATCCAAAAAGTGAAGTCGAAAAATTGAAACATTAAAAAAATAAAAAAAAAATCAAAAACCTGAAAAATCGAAAAATTAAAGAAATGAAGAACAGGAATACGGAAACCCTCGAAAGTCAACAAATGGGAAAATCAAAACATAGATTAATTGAAAAATCGAAAATTTGAAAAAACGAAAATTGATAAACAAAAAATCTAAAACCGGGAAGTCGAAAAATCGATTGATTAAGAAATTTGATAAATTCGAAATCTTGAAAAACTGAAATATCGAAGAACTGAAATGAAAAATCGAGGAATCGAAAAATCTAAAATTTTAAATATTGAAAAATTAAAACATCAAAAAACTGAAAAATCTAAAATTTAAAAATCCAAAAATTAAAAAAACGACAATTAAAAAACAAAATCTAAAACCGGGAAGACGAAAAATCGAAAGATTAAGAAATCGCAACATTTGAAAAATTGAAATATCGAAGAGCTCAAATGGAAAATCGAGAAATGGAAAAATCTAAAATTTTGAATATTGAAAAATTAAAATACCAAAAAATTGAGAAATCTAAAATTTAAAAATCGAAAAAGTAAAAAGTCAACACATCGAAAAATCCAGAAGTCAAAAATGGAAAAGTCGAAGAACAGAAATATTGAAAAATCCCAAAACTGAAATATCGAAAAACTGAAAAATGAAAGAAAAACTGACGAAACGAAAAACTAAAAAATCCCAAAACTGCAATATCCAAAAATCTAAAGAAAAACTGAAAACCGAGAAATTGAAAAATTGAGAAATTGTAAAATTCAAAAATTGAAATAAATAACAGAAACAGTAAGCAGCTTGTAATATTCTGGTAAATCTAGTGTCAATTTGTCGAAAGTAAAACGCGTCGTTAAAAATATTATGACATTTTTTTCTAGTTAATTTTATTCCTAGTTAGAAACAAACACTGTTGCCAACTTAAGTCGAGGAG